TTTTTTGCCGCTTCTATCTGTGTCATCGTCATCCAGTTTCACCACTTTCGCTTCAGTTTCGGTCAAGTAGTGACATCAGTTTTAGGGTAAAATCTTGTGGGACACCGTGTAATAAAGGAATTCATCGTCGAAATGTCACTAGCGGCCATTTTGGGATACGAAACAGGGCCTGATTAACGATAATTTAGATTTTTTCTTTCCTGTCACAAAGTCGTATTGGCCTTAAATAAACTAATTTATGTCCGATTGACCAATAAAGTGCTATTTATAGAACAGTTTTGCGTCAATAAAGTAGCACTTTATTGTACTAGTAAAATAAAGTGCTACTTTATTTTACTAGTAAAATAAAGTGCTACTTTATTGCCTACCTGGACTACCTGACAAGGTTGAACAGGTCCTGACAACCTGCCAAGGTGAAACAGGTCCTGACAACCTGGCAAGGTGAAACCGGTATACCTACGCGAATTTTACTTTTTTCATTAGATTTATTTAATTTTTAACGAAAACCAGTCGTAATCGTACATAAAATCATGTATGTAACGCTTACATAAACAGGCTTTATTCACTCATTATTTAATAGCCTCGCTCGCAAGCCCGCTCGGCCATAAAATTATTCGTACAATAAAGCCTCACTTTATGTAGTTGTTATATAAATAGCTATTATTATTACTTACATATTGTTTGCCCAGCGGATCTGAGTCAGTCTACGGAAGGAATTCGGACGTAAATATGCCATGTTGCCACGTTTAATTATAAAAAAGCGAAAATACTAGGCATGTGTTGAAGTTAATTTGAAAATCCATTTTTTAAAAACAAAATATTGATAACAATAATAAAACGCTAAATATTTTAACGTGGTTGTTAGATCTATCCTTATTTTAATCCTGATTTCTTCAATTTGGTCTATTGTAAAAAATAAACATTTTCTAAAGATACCATCAGCTTTTGACAATTTGGCAAGCATCCGTCCTGGATGAACCTGATTGGTGGAGTTTTTGGCAGGATCGCCGTTGTCATGCGGAACCATAAACCCTTTAGTTCTTTTCACGTGGCTCCGGTTTAACTAATCGGGTTACAAAACGGTTAGAGAAATGACATACCGTTTTCTAACCCGGTTACAAAGTGACGTGATGGATACCTACCACTCGTATTTGAGCGGTATGTTGCGGTTTGTTAAACTGGAGCCACGTGAAAAGGGTTTTTGCACGTAGCTCCGGTTTAACAAACCGCAACATACCGCTCAGATTCGAGTGGTATCGATCACTTCACTTTGTAACCGGGTTAGAAAATGGTATGTCATACTTGACATACCGCTACTAACCGTTTTGTAGCCCGGTCAGTTTAAACCGGACCACGTGAAAAGGACTATAGTGTTGTCAATGAGCTAACGTCACCTTACGTCTCGCTATTGGCCAGGGCTCACGTCATTTTATCCTCCCATCTTGGAATATCGATTTATATTGAAATGTCCAGTGGCGGAGATTTGGTCATTGCTGATTTTCGTGTACGAGTTGCAATACGATAACACTTCCAAAAAGTTCCGCACGCAGCTGGGTATTTTATGAATGAAATCAGCCATTTTTTTTTACAACTGCATTCCCCTTACCGTTGCCCCGTAGACACAGAGTCGCTGGGCAGACAATAGGTTTGTTCAAACCGGCAGTAATTTTAATTGACAGTTCGTCGTTCCAACCGGAGTTACGGATAGTAAAATTACGGTTCAAACGATTCTTGCTTGAAAGGAAGAACTGTTGGTTCTAAAATTAGACGCATGCGTAGGGAGGTCGAAAACGGGTCAGTGGTTGAACAACAACGAACATAAATAATAATGCATAACCCAGAACCTCAGTTTTTTGTTTTATTTAAATTATTTATTTGAAAATGACTGCAATAGAAGTTAAGTAATTTTATTTTATTTGTTCTCAGAGTTAATAAATCTGATTTTTGTCTTATATTAGGTTTAGAAGAATTCTTTATTGTGGTGGAAGATGATTCACCTGCAAGTATGCAAGTTATGTTGATTTTGTTATTTTCATCTTGTGTTGTGAGTACTACTAGTTCAAAAAACGTTCCAACAAGTTTTTAAGTTATTCAGTATAATATTACTGTTTTTGATTGCGCAGTCGCATTAGCGCGGTTACGGACGATAATATTACAGTAATATTATTGCAGGTTGGAACAAACCTATTAGTTACCTACATGTAATAATATTTATAATTACTAATTTATTATTAATAATATTATTAAATATTAAAATTAAATTAAATAACAGACGATAAAAACTCTAAAAAATTATTAAATATACAACAATGATAACAGATAACACTATAAATGACAACACGAATGTACCAAAATCACTTCGAAAATCATAACTAAAATTCTGCTCTACACCGCACGCCTATGACCTTCGTCAGAAATCAATAACCCTTTTCACGTGGCTCCGGTTTAACAAACCGCAACATACCGCTTAAATTCGAGTGGTAGGTATCCATCACGTCACTTTAGTTCTTTTCACGTCGCTCCGGTTTAACTAACCGGGTTACAAAACGGTTAGAGAAATGACATACCGTTTTCTAACCCGGTTACAAAGTGACGTGATGGATACCTACCACTCGAATTTCAGCGGTATGTTGCGGTTTGTTAAACCGGAGCCACGTGAAAAGGGTTTTTGTAACCGGGTTAGAAAACGGTATGTCATTTCTCTAACCGTTTTGTAACCCGGTTAGTTAAACCGGAGCCACGTGAAAAGAACTAATGGTCAGAAATGAACAAATAAAATAAAATTTCGGCGCCCCTGCCATTTAATGACAGAAGTTCCAGGTAGAAAATGGGAATGAATTTTCAAATATCATTCCTACATCAATAATTCCTGAAAAATTTGAACAGCCTAGCATTAGCCCTTCAGATGATAGGCAATTCAATCCATCTGTCAAAAAGGAAAATTCAATGTGGCGTGGCGGCCAAGCAAGTTTGTTTTGAATATATTTTTATGCGTATTTTAAATTATTCTGCATACAGTTTTGCTTACAATAAAATATTTGTTGACTAGGTACCTAAACTATTAATTCGGGCAGAAACTAGATATTTTTTTATGTTTTTTGGTCCATGTGTGGCCGCCACGCCATCTTGAATGTCACGTGGTTTGAATAGGGAACTATCATATTTTTCAAAGTATTTTTTTTCTTATTGCTCATGTTTTCAAATATAAAATGTATACGTTTTTTTTTGTTTTATGTCCTCATTGAAATAAAAAAATTATTTCGAATTTCAAATTATTTTCGTTGGCGCGAAAACGATTAGCTTCAAGATGGTGGCATTTGTGACGTCAACTGTCTGTAAACACAACGTTAAGGTCTGTTCTCACAAGTCTATGATACTTTGCAAACTGTCGGAAAGAATCGCTTAGCTTGAACTTTCGACTGCATCGAAACTTGAAAGCGGTTATTTATGCGGTATTTCCATATTTAGTGCCATATTGTGACATTTTGTGTTTCAAATAGTTCATCATGGTTGATGACAGGATTTACAAAAGTGCAGTCTGACAATCTTTCCTCTATAGACCCGTTTATGGTGGTTCAATATCAATCGTGGCGTGACGTGAGCTGATCGTGGACCAATCGTTACACAATTCAAGAGTGAACCACGAAAGTGTGGACCGTGGATTTTCGATCAGTGTAAACTACCCTTAACCTTAAATTACGAACAGTTGACGTGACTGGAAGCCAAGCGGCCATGTTAAACGTAACTTTTTCGCGCCAAACTTTTCAATTTAAAACTTATAATTGCCATATGACTATAATACGAAGGCGTAGAAGGGACACCCAACTTTTTTTTTTCTCAATTTTTAAAATTTCGACTTATAACTCGAAATTTTATAGTAAAATTTCGTGATATAACTCGAAATTTTAAAATTTCGACTTATAACTCGAAATTTTATAGTAAAATTTCGTGATATAAGTCGAAATTTTAAAATTTCGAGTTATAAGTCGAAATTTTAAATTTTCGACTTATATCACGAAATTTTAAAATTTCGACTTATAACTCGAAATTTTAAAATTTCGACTTATATCACGAAATTTTACTATAAAATTTCGCCTTATAACTCGAAATTTTGTAGTAAAATTTCGTGATATAACTCGAAATTTTAAAATTTCGACTTATAACTCGAAATTTTGTAGTAAAATTTCGTGATATAAGTCGAAATTTTAAAATTTCGAGTTATAAGTCGAAATTTTAAAATTTCGTGATATAAGTCGAAAATTTAAAATTTCGACTTATAACTCGAAATTTTAAAATTTCGACTTATATCACGAAATTTTACTACAAAATTTCGAGTTATAAGGCGAAATTTTATAGTAAAATTTCGTGATATAAGTCGAAATTTTAAAATTTCGAGTTATAAGTCGAAATTTTAAAATTTCGTGATATAAGTCGAAAATTTAAAATTTCGACTTATAACTCGAAATTTTAAAATTTCGACTTATATCACGAAATTTTACTACAAAATTTCGAGTTATAAGTCGAAATTTTAAAATTTCGAGTTATATCACGAAATTTTACTATAAAATTTCGAGTTATAAGTCGAAATTTTAAAACTTGAGAAAAAAAAAAGTTGGGTGTCCCTTCTACGCCTTCGTACTATAATGTCCATAAATTTAATACAAAACTGCTCATATTCAATATTTTACACAAAAATGTGCACCATAAACACAAAATAAGCCATATTTATTTCTTATGAAAATTCCCTATTGCCTAATATTTGTGAAAAAAAACACCAAGTATCGTTCACAAATATTATTTGAACACAGGTCTCCTTGAGCTATGAACTATTTTTTCGAATTCCTCCATATACCCCAGAATTTTTGACCAGTTGAACGGGGACACCCTGTATATGCATTTTCGAACAGCTTTGGTGCACACTGGCACCGGGTAACGCCCGGTGCTTCTTCGAACGTACCCTAGAGATTGTGAAATTCCATAAATGAGTCAACTGTCATAATAAAATAATAAAAATAAAAGGTGGAAAGTTTCTATGAGCCCGCCTCCGCCTGGCTCTATTTTTTATTTTTATGATAGTTCAGTGATTTAATAATGGTAAACCCAGTAGAAGCTAGTTTCTTCACCATAGTATAGTAAAACTAATTAACGCCGTATTGTAAAATATTAAATAGGAAAATGTCAGTGCAATTTTAAATTTGTGATTCAGGGGCAAATTTGAAAACTTTAAAAGACGAGCAATAAAATGTCTCATAATACTGGGGTGTTACCCTTCGTAAGAGGCATAGACTTCACTAGGAATGATTTTAGTGTAAGTACTAAGTAGCAGTAACTGCCTAAGTAGGTACTAAGTAGTTTTTAAGTCGGGAGTTAGGTTAGAAATACATCTGTTTGAGTTTATCACTATTTCTCTATAAAAAAATAATCAATTTGGAATTTGGGTATAAACTAGGTTCAGGCTCATTCTAATCCAACTGCATTCGATCCCCTCTTCAACCATTTTCATTTTTTTTAACTCTAGTTTTTATTGTTTACTCCTGCCACTAAACAATGAGCAGAGTTCGAGATCAATCCAGATTATGATAATCTGATTATATTGAGAATGTGTTTTTTTATCTTCGATATCATTTTGATCACCTGTATGGTATGTATGTACAGGGTGTCCCTATTTGGACGCTTTTAATAGGAAACATCGAGGGGTGTTTCACTCATGCAGTAAGTGTACAAATATCATACCTCGTATCATACATTCATGTATATGCAGTCCATTGTCCATACATTCTTCTGCAGTCAATGAAATACATGGACTCATGCAGTCATAATAATAGTTGCTTGTAATCGTTATAAATTCCGTGCAGTCACATGCAGTAGCGAACAGGGTATTTGATTATATTTGGACCCATACCTACAGCCTTTACTATTTGAGATAGAAAAATACTTTAAATACAAAACTTGACTTGATTTATTCACCAGTACTTCTAAAGGGTAAGACAACTCAGACAACTAAGACAACTCAGAACAGACCCTCTTTACCACACTGGTATTTATTCCATCAGGGCCATAACTTGTTTTGTTTTTGAGACTCATGATGATGTCGGTAATTTCTGCTGGTGTCACTGGATGGAGGAAGATGGTGTTTTCGACCAGATGCGAGGTGGTTGGAAGATTCGAAACGGTGGCACCAAAATGGCTTGATATTTTTATTTCTGCAACATTCGAAAAAAATCTACCGAAGTGGTTTGAGATTTCTTTATCATTTTTGATAAGGTTACCATCGATCTTGAGGTCGATTTTCTTGGAATGCTTAACTCTGCCCAGCTCGTCATTCACAATATTCCATATTTCTTTTGATTTGTTAGATGACTGTATAATCTTTTGCTCGTTAAAATGTATTTTCGCCTGTCTAATATTTTGCCTATACTTTTTTTTCTCCTTATTGTAATATTCTTGACCTGCCCCAGAGTTCGTTTCCCTTGCTAGATTATAAAGTTGCTTTAGTTCTTGCTTTTGATTCTTTAGTTCTTCAGTGATCCAGTGTGTTTTTTCGTCTTTTTTATTATTTATATTTATTCTTTTTATGGGACATGTGGTATCGTAATGCCATTGGAGTGTTTGTAGAAAATTATCAAATGCGGTTTCCAGTTCTGGCATATGAATATTTTCCCAGGTTTCCAGTTTCAGGTTGTTTTTGAACCTGTTCAAATTGTCATGGCATTTTATTCTGATATTTTTAAATATTGGAGTTATTTCGTTTGCAATCTTTGCTGATAGATTAACTTCAAGTCGCTGTAGAAGATGGTCTGATATGTGGGCTTGAGATGACTCGCAAGCTAGAACATTCTCTGGAAAGTTAGTTGCCATGTAGTCGATTGATGATATAGATAATCCGTTTTGTGCAGGAAATATTCGTGTTGGACCTAGACAGTGGTTGGTGAGTTGATGTGAGTCGAACATATCTTGCAATATCTTGTATTTTGGATCCTCTTTTTTCATGCTATTTATATTTAAGTCGCCGCAAAGTATAATGTAGTTGAATTTTTTTGCCATTTCTGACAGTATTGCAGTCATTTGACAAATGAAGATATCCAACATACCATTTGGTGGTCTATACGCTGCTATTATCGCAGTGGGTGTCGCTTTGATTTTTGTTTGAATAGCACAGCATTCAACCTCCATTTCGATGCTATAATTTTTAATCTCCGGGATAGGCTTTCCCTTCAGCGAGTCTTTGGCGTAGATTGCTGTTCCCCCATGTATATGTAACTTCCTGCAATAGTAGGATAGTAGATTGTATCCCCTGAGGCCCAAGTTCACGGCTCCTTCTTCAGCTGACCATGTTTCTGTTATGCATAAAAAGTCCGTTTTCTGCTCTATTGTTGTTAATTCTAAGAGGTTGAGCTTGTTACTTAAGTTTTGGGCGTTTATGTGGTTTATTACGATTGTATCTGTTTTTATTTGTTTTGGTATTGGTTTTGGCAATGGCGTAGTTCTGGGTGGGATAAAAAATGTAACTGGGATGAAAAATGTGACTGGTTTTGGTTCGGTGCTGTACCATCTGTAGGTTGATTGCGGACTGCTTGTCGAGGTCTTGACCATGTTTGTCTTTGTTTCTCTAGCTGGTTTACTGTTTCCTTGGGGTTAGGATGTTCCTCGGTCTGTGTGGATGTTGTCGTTGTATTTATGTAGTGCTTGTAGATATAATTAATCAGTAGCCACTTGCCACGATAGTCCAATTCGTCATTGTTATCAATGTTAAATGGTTTAATCACCCTGTTGATGTCGATATAGGTAGCGTTTCTCGTCTTTACGCAGTTTTGTATATCTTGATTCTGTTTGTTTATGAACCCATTTAGAATTGGCCTATCTGGCACATAAGGTGCACCAATAAATATGAGGTTTGTATTTTTTGAAGATTCAATTACCAATTTTATCACATCTTCCTTTATTTGCTTTCCACGTCTTGCGTTTTCCGAGTGTGTGAAAATAATCTTGAAGTCATTCATATCTAGACGCTGCGACAGTTTTTCATGATGTTCCAGTATATCTCCATTCATGTTGCTCGTTGCATATTGACAGTTTATGTCGTATTTGTTTTCAGAGATTTTCTTGCAAACTTTGCCATAGTTATATCCATTTTTTCCTGTCAATATTAGTATTTGAGCCTTTCTTTTTCGCTCATTTACCAGCATAGGAACTATTTGTTTATCAGCTTCTACTATTTTTTCGTTGGAATCGGAGTTTAGTTGGTTGGTTTTGTTTCCAGTTGTATTATTTTTGAAATTTTTAGCATTGTTCCTAAGTGTCTTGGCTGTTTCATTTATGTTTGTATTTGTTAGAATTAGACTTTCAATTTTCTGGTTAAGCTTAGCTATATCTTCTCTGTATTTTGCTATATCCTCGCTATATGCTTGACGTTCTATTTTCCTTTTGCCATCGATGTCCTTGATTTTGTCTTCCAGGTTTTTTATGGTGGCTTTTAAATTTGAGATCTCGCAGCCGTTTTCTGGCGTGTATTGATTTGTTTGGTTTAATTGATTTATTTGTATTTTTTCAGTTTGCTGCAGAAGTTCCTTATTTTTATTTTCCAGCTTTGTGTTCTGGTTTTTTTGTTCTGCTATTTCCCGCAGATAGCGACTTTCATTTTCTCTAAGTGTCCTTATGTCTTCTTCTTTTTTTAATATATCTTGATGGAGCTGAGTTTTAAGTTGTAAGGATGATTTTTGTTCTTCGATCAGCTGATTCTTTGTTTCTACTAGATTTTTCTCCAGGTTATCATTTGAAGCCTTAAATTGTTCGCTCAACTTTGTCAAGTTTTCGTTTGAACTCTCAGTTACCTTCTTTCTTTGTTTACAATTTCCCAAAAAAATGTTTTGTTCCCCTTATTATTCAAGATGCAATCAATAAATATCAGTAGCCTTTTATTTCATGTATTTGGTTTGGATGTTTAATATAAAAACTTCCAAAAAGACAATATTTCTTTTTTATTTTAAGTCCTTAAAAATAGGTGTGGTGTTTACATTTACCCATAACATTGGGGGTAAATGTAAACACTCCATATCTGTACATTTCATTTTAATATGGTTACAAAAGGGAAAATGTGAACAAATCGATAATCCGTTTTTTTCGTTAGAAGTATAAATATCTCGAACGATGTTTACAATTACCCCAGAATTAAATTCAAATTCAAATTCAAATATGCTTTATTGTCAGAAAATTATAGTACATTCTATTGACAAAGCAACATCCTTAATAATATAAAATATAAGAACAGATAACAAGTAAAAAAGACACTACAGCAGTGGCACTAGCAAGTGGTAAAATGACTAACAATAAAAGAAAAATTCAGTACTTATTAGTAAATTTGTAACATTTTTAAAATTTAGAACACATCAGTTATTATGGCATTGTGAATCTATTACTAAATCAGGTAGACCCTGTCCTACAAGTAGTACAAAACATAAAACATAAAACATAAAACATAAAGTTGAGTTTTAGACACTTACATCACGATACAGACACAAGATCCTGTTAAAGGTTGTCATCAAAATACTCGTCAAGAGAATAAAATGTTTTATCTGCCAATAAACTTTTAACCTTATATCTAAAAGATTTATAATTTTGATCCGTTCTTAAATTTAATGGTAGTTTATTGTACATTTGTATACTTTTATAAATCAGAGAATCCTGAGTTAGAGAGAACCTTGGTATAGGCAAAGGTATCAGGTTGTAGTTCCTTGTTGGATAGGAGTGCGCATGTGTAGTACCCTGGTACCTCTTGTGAACTAAACAGACAGTCTCTAAGATAAAGAGATCCACTAAGGTTAACATTCCCCCCCTCCTAAATAATTCTCGGCAGTGATCTCTGAGACCTGCTCCAAAAATATACCTAACAGAACGTTTCTGAAGAGTAAACACTGATTGAAACAAACACTTACTGCAGTTCCCCCAAAAAGCAATTCCATAGCGCAAGTGGGACTCAACAAGAGCAAAATAAGTGGCCTTAGCCATAGACTGACCCAATTCATAGCACGTTTGGCGTACAGCATAGCCTCCCGCTGCAATTTTTTTATTTAAGTTGATTATATGCTGGAAAAATTTTAAATTGCAGTCAATATTAATTCCAAGAAATTTAGTATCCTGACTGAGACCGATTGACTGATTTCCAAGTTGAAGATTATCAAATGTAAATTTAAAACTGAGAACTTTGGTTTTTTCAATATTAAAACTTAGAAAATTTGAATCACACCATGCTTTTATTTGATGGAGGTCATTAGAAACAATCTCTTTCAAGAGCAGTGGGTCCTTATGGTGCCAAAGGGGCGTAATATCGTCAGCAAAACCAGTGAACATACACTCAAGTGGTAATTCAAAAAGGTCATTAACATACATCAAAAACAAAATAGGTCCCAGGACAGAACCTTGTGGAACTCCTGTGTCAATTGCTAAGGCTGATGATATGGAACTCCTGTTATTAACCATTTGGGTCCTTTTTGATAAATATGAGGTAAAGAATTTCAATGAAGTGTCCCGAATTCCATAAATATACATTTTATTCAAGAGTATGTCATGTCTAACGCAATCGAACGCTTTAGAGAGATCGCAGAAAACCGCAGCTGCAACCTCTCTATCGTTCAGTTTCAAATGCAATTGCTCCAGGAAACAGAATACAGCATCACTAGTACTTTTAGATGACTGAAATCCAAATTGACAATCGCTAATTATATTGTTACGTGATAAAAACACAGTCAGTCTATTCTTCACCACCTTCTCCACTATTTTTGACAGGGTATTTAAAAGTGAAATGGGTCTAAAGTTAGCTGGGTCCTTGAAGGAGCCACCTTTATGTATGGGGACCACCAAGGCAACCTTAAGTGAGTCGGGGAATTCACCAACCTCAAAACATTTGTTGATGGCCTGTGACAGCACATAGAGAATATTATCATTTAAGTTTTGAAAGATTTTGACAGACATCTCGTCTATTCCAGCAGAGTTTTTATTTTTTATGTCTCTTATTAGGATTTTAAGTTCCTCTACAGTTGTTTCTGTTAAAGTGAATGTTTCATCGATGTGTGAATGGCTAAGATAACTGAGGGGATCTAAGGCGGGTTCTATCTTGTCTGAAATTTTTTTCGCAATTGAACAGTAGAATTCATTTAGAATGTTTGGCTGAATATCAGCTGACTTTTCTGCATGGCTATGCTTGCCCCTTAGGTCGTTCACAATGGACCATGCCTCTTTTGAAGGGTTTTTTGCATTAGAGATTCTATTTTGATAGTATTGTAATTTTGCTGATCCGATAACTTTCCTATAAATTTTCCGATATTCACTATAATAATTTATAAAATACTGACTATCGGCAAACTTTTTGATGAAATGTAAAGATCTAAGATTTCTTGAGGAAGTCTTAATGCCTTTCGTAATCCAGTTTTTTTTGGGCTTTTTTGCTCTCATATTGCACACTGGAAAGCTCTTGGCAAACGTATTGTGCAACAGTGTATGGAACAATTCCAGAGGTTTTTCTGAAGCAAGCGCACACTCCCAGTCCACCAAGGAAGAACAAGTATTAAATCTTTCAAAATTCCGACTTGAAAAAACCCTCCCATATCTTTGGGGTATTTTTTGTTTTGTGCAGAGTAGAGAGAAGTTGGCTAACAATGCCTCATGGTCTGACAGTCCAGGGGTGGAAACCATTTCACAGTTAACCCCGTTCTCGGATAAGTTAGTACAAAAATAGTCAATAACAGTAGCAGAATCTTCAGCTACCCTGGTAGGAGAGTCAACATGCATGGACAAACCATAAGAGCACAGTAGGTCCTTTAATGCCAGAGTAGCTGGTGATTGGTTGTCAATAAAGTTAATATTTAGATCTCCTGACAAAATGACCTTACAATTAACCGGTAAATCCAATAAAATGGTTTCTAAGTTCACTAAAAAACCTGTAGCATTTGTTCTTGGAGGTCTATATATACAAATTAAATACAAATTGTGTCTTCTGTTAAATGCAATCGAAAATTCGAATTCTTTTTCCACACGCAAGAAGTCATACTTGTCAACCTCCTCCATATTGAAGTTTAAAGAGAATGATTTTTTCATTAAAATAATTGTACCTCCATACCCATTGGAGGAGTCTCTACAGTAGTTTGAGACAATATAATAATTTGGCAAGTGAAAAGGCTCCCAGTTTTTTAACCAATGTTCTGTGAGCAAGATTAAGTCTGGTCTGTTGCAGTTTTCCAAGAAAACCTCAAACTCTTTGATTTTATTGCGAACAGATTGGATGTTCAAGGTAAGTATTGACACAGAATTTGAATTTGAATCTACCCTTCTTCTATTATTATTGAAGGGGGACATAAAAAAGGCAAGCTATCAGATTTTTGCGAGATATTTATTGCTAGGTTGTTGGGCACATTTTCACCGCCAGTAGATGAAAAAACATGATCAATACCATCTACAAGACCCACAGGGGTAATTGGAACATTAAGTTCTACACACGTAAGTTCTTCACTATTTGACAACTTGACACTATTTGACAGCTTGACAATGTTGCCCTGCACACATTTGGCACCGGAGTCAGAGAGTGTGAGGACGCGATTTGAAATCATGCTACTCTTTACATAATACAAAACATTACATAAAAAGGAATGCCTTGACAATCGATATCTGCCATTTACCCTATTGTTATCCAGAACTCTAATTGATGCACTTTGGCATTTGAGGAAATGTTGACAAAGAGAAACAAACCTTACATACTTGTTGTATTCCCAGTCGGAATATCGCAAAGAAAAAATCAAATTAGTACATTTACCAATAGAAAATAGTATCCCCAAATAAAAAGCATCAAGGAAATCAAAAGAACCCAAATCAATAGTTATTACAACATTATCCATATTACCATATTCCGCCGTTAGACCAAGGAGTTTGGCTGTCATATGGGAAGTTGCAATAGCAGGGTGGCATTCTCCATAAATCAGGTATTCATTAGTCAGGCCTAGCAGTCCATCAGCAACACCTCTAGAACTTGCGTCACCAAAAACCAGTATCTTGTTTTTTTTGTTGGGGTTGGCTTGAACATGTACAGTTTGTGGAGTCGGCGCATATGCAATAGAGCTAGATGATTCAGTCACATGCGGATCTATGTCTAATAGTTCGTCGAACAAAGATACATTAAATTGTGCACTCTTACTGCTTAAAGAGGGTACCCCGCTCGGCTTCCCATGGGAAACATGTAAACAGGCAAGTTGTTCCTTCAAGTCTTCCAGCTCGTTCGAAAGAAATCGATTCTCATTATCAAGGGTCTCAATTGAAGTAGCCATTTGTTTATTGAGATTCGTAATTTCGGCTATTTCAATCATGAGGGCTTGTTGTTTCTCATCAGAGCTGCCCGCAAGGCAAGGATCAGTCTGAGAGTCATTCTGAAGCAGAATTTCCTCTTGAAAAAGAGTTTGAATTGATGAAGAAGCAAGTTTCCTTGGAGCGTTGGTTACTTGTTCTAGCGAATTTCTTGCCAACTGAGACAGCCTCTGTTTAAGGGCGCTATTTTCACGAACCAATCGATCTTCTGAATATTCCGCCTCATCCAGTAGAGTTTGCTTTTCCCGCTTCAACCTATCAATGTAGTTTGTTTTGTCAAAAACTTCAGTTTTAAGGTCATTGATCATTTGCGTTAGACTTGCTACTACGTCAGGATCTGAGTCAGTTGAGTCAGTTGACTCTCTTGCCAGGTTTGAGCACTGAGCAGAACACAAAACCAGGTTATCCCTTATTATGTCCACATCTCTGGCAAGTCTTGATCTGCAGCTCTTATGGTAAACATTGTGGCACAGTATGCAGACCCAGTTGTTCTGTGTCTTCTTGCAGCATTTAAAGGTAAGAGCCATTTCAGCAGTAGGACAAAAAAAAACGTCAATTTGAAATTCTTGTCGAGAATTAATTGTACAATAGCTAGTACATTTGTGAGGTCAACAATAATCCAGTTGAAGTGAAGTCCAATAAATAAACAAATTCAAGCGATATGCAAATTAAATCGATAAGGAATATGGTTTTTTTTTTACTACACTAGGTCATGAGCGCGCTTCGCGCGCTTTTTTTTTAAATCAAGTCCATCAAAATAATTATAAAATGGAAAATATTTATTAGGTGTTGTACAAAAAACAGCATAATTTTTGATTTAAATGTACATTATACATTAAATGTAACAGTGAGATAAGTTGTATAGATGTTATTCTAGTGAAGAAATTTCAAATGCGATGGATGGAGTTGGTGACTAATTATTTTTGTATGGTATATCATAATGATTTTAAATCGATCACATTTCTTGAATGTACGGTGTGCGTATGTCTACTTATCTCATTCTGTTTTATGGAACTCGTAGGTGTAGGTATACATTATTCGAAGTGGTTTATTTAAAACAGAATAATCATAACCATAATCAAGGTGTTATTATAAACCGAGTTAGTAACTATTTATGTGCTGTGGTATAATACGAGATATCGAGTCTTAATTTTTTTTTTACATTTTCATGAAGTTCCTTTTTTTTTATTAGGCCAGTTATTGAAGTCTACTCGATCAACATTTTACTGCAAACAATCGAAAAAAAAATTTTTTTAAAAGATTTTAAATTCAATTGCTCAATTATTCAACTTACATTTTTTGTTTGTACCTACGTGGTAGACATAAATTTTAAATGTGATCAAAGTAGTTGGTGAATTATTACTTTTGCGGTACATCGTAATGACTTTAAATCGATCTTATTTTTTGAATATACGGTGTGCATATGTCCAGTGCAACTTATTCTATTTTATGGAACTCGTAAGAATCCAAAGTTTAAAGAGTGCTAAGTCTTCATGTCGTTCTTCGTTATTTTCAATCATTTATGTTTATCGTGTTCAGGTTTTTGTCTTGTGATCTTCAAATATGTAAATAAGTTGTAAAGATCTTCTGAAATCACCTATGACTGCGAAATTTCAAAATTAAATTATCAAAAAAACAATTCTTTAAAAACATGGTTTTTGACAACACTATTGCCTCTTTGTTTCCCTGAATAAAGTTTGAATGAGTCCCACGAACGAACTCTGAAAAGCGCCACATAAAGTTGTCCGTGACTAATACATCCTTTCTGGAGATCAGTTACTATCCTATCAAATGTTTGTCCTTGAGATTTGTTAATCGTAACTCATTGCAAAGGCTAATTTTATTTTAAAATTGTCTTTGTTTGAACGTAAAGGGGTAGACGTTTTCGCAGTAGAGTGTTATTCGATTTATGAACACTATTTCTCCCTGTTTATCTACAGTCAATATCTCACAGCGTAACAGATTATCCCCAAGTTCCAGAACTAAAGGCCTTGTACCATTGCAAAGGCCTGCACTGATGCTTAGATTTCTAATAAGCATACAATAGAATTCGTTTTCAATCGTAAATCATGGAGCGGGAATTCGGCGGATTAAGCGAATTTAAATATTTTGGAAGAATAGCATCATTTAGATCACTATTATCACAGTTCTTGACACTATCTATACTGGTGTAGAGTTTTTCGGTCTTGACGTCCAACAGTTCGACAACTTATTCGTTTATTTCTTCGACATCAACATTTCTTGCAGAAAGTATTGCAGATTTGGTCAAGTCCCTGAATCTTCCTTCTTTTAGTATTGTTCGTCGACTTTTCGTATGAGGAGCGAGGGGGTGAAGCGAAAACCAGGGGTGACCTTAGGTGACCATTGGCGTTCAAATGTAGGGTGCCACCAGCTCACATTCCTTTCGAGTATTAGATTAAAATCGACGGACTTTAATTCTCATAGATGTTTTCAACAATATCCGAATTATCAATACATTTCTCCGACAATTTTAGATTGTCGTTAGAATCATTTAGTGTTCGTTATCGCATAAAAATGGCTCAATTTCAGCAATAAGTGCTTAATATTGGCCTTTAAGGCGGCAACCGTTCGAGATTTGTCAACATAGACTTTGGATTTTAGAATGCCCAGAGAAAAAAATCCAGTGACGTTAGGTCGGCCAATTGTGGATTCTGAAGGACGATCGTTGACATCATAAATTGCACGGAGTGCACGAAACGTTTTCCGAATAGAACATTGGTTTTGATAATGATAATAATTTTTAACAATTCCGACGCGTTGCTCAATCGTGTAGCGCTCCATAATAAAATGCAGAGACTAATTGAATACGGCTGCCAAAGATAGCACCTGTGTGACTATCGAGTTTTTCATGGGCTATTGTCAAACATCGAGCGTTACTATTGGAAAACCCTATACATACCTAGATTCTTTTATTGGACCTAGAAAAAATATTAAACCACTTCCTTGCTTTGAAAAACAACCATCTACAGAGCAATATCTAATAGCACAGCTAATAGGCATATTGTCAGAGAATTGTCACATAAGTAACAAATTCACAGTCCTTCACAAAGATGCAACCGAGGAGAACATTGAAAATGCCGAAGCAAACTTCAAAGCTAATGCTTGTGATTATTGTGAGCTTTGAGATCCGCTAAAATTCAACCCTTTCCAGATTTTCCAGAATTTTTCCGACCCAATCCAGAAATTTCCATGCGTTTTCCAGACGTTTCCAGAAATTTCCAGACTTTATCCAGATTTTTCCAGACTTAGCTAGACTTTATGCAGACTTGTCAAAATTTCTCCAGACCTTATCAAGCCTTTTCCAGAGGTTTCCAGACATTTCCAGACTTTCCCAGACTTTATCCAGACTTTTCTAGACTTGGCTGGATTTTTCCAGACTTTATCCAGACTTGTCTAGATTTCTCCAGACCTAATAGAGTCTTTTCCAGACGTTTCCAGACATTTTCTGGCTTTTCCAGACTGTATCCAAACTTATCCAGACTTTTCCAGATTTAGCTAGACTTTATCCAGACTTGTCTAGATTTCTCCAGACCTTATCCAGCCCTTTTCTGACCTCTCCGGACTTCTCCCAAACACTTTCCCGACTTCAAATACACTTTTCCAGACTTTATCCAGACTTGTCTGAATTTCTCCAGACCTTATCAAGCCTTTTCCAGACGATACCAGAAATTTCCAGGCTTTTCCAGACTTTATCCAGACTTTTCTAGACTTGGCTAGATTTTTCCAGACTTTATCCAGACTTGTCTAGATTTCTCCAGACCTAATAGAGCCTTTTCCAGACGTTTCCAGAAATTTTCTGGCTCTTTTCCAGACTTTATCCAAACTTGTCTGAATGTCTCTAGACCTTATTAAGCCTTTTCCAGACGTTTCCAGAAATTTCCAGGCTTTTCCAGACTGTATCCAGATTTTTCTAGGCTTAGCTAGATTTTTCCAGACTTTATCCAGACTTGTCTAGATTTCTTCAGACCTAATAGAGCCTTTTCCAGACGTTTCTAGAAATTTTCTGGCTCTTTCCCAGACTTTATCCAAACTTATCCAGACTTTTCCAGACTTAGCAAGACTTTATCCAGACTTTATCCAGACTTATCTAGATTTCTCCAGACCTTATCCAGCCCTTTGACCTCTCCGGACTTCTCCCAAACACTTTCCCGACTTCAAATACACTTTTCCAGAACTTATCCAGACTTGTCTGAATTTCTCCAGACCTTATCCAGCCTTTTTCCGACGTTTCCAGAAATTTCCAGGCTTTTCCAGACTTTATCCAGACTTGGGTAGATTTTTCCAGACTTTATCCAGACTTGTCTAGATTTTTCCAGACCTAATAGAGCCTTTTCCAGACGTTTCCAGAAATTTTCTGGCTTTTCCAGACTTTATCCAAACTTATCCAAACTTTTGCAGACTTAATCCAGCCTTATCCAGACTTTATCCAGACTTGTCTAAATTTCTCCAGACCTTATCCAGCCCTTTGCTGACCTCTCCGGACTTCTTCCAAACACCCGACTTCAATTTTGTATAAGTAATTGCCCATTTATGAGTCGGCATTTAATGTATGCAAAAACGGTAACATCCTTGAACCAACATAAACATATCGATTTTATATTCGGATTGCCTCATTTGCATAATTAAAGCGGTGACAGCCTTGAACTAACATCTCGATTTTATATTCAGATTATAGTCACCAAGAAAAACTATAAAACGGAATTTCCACCATCAATAATAATTCTTCAAACTTGATTTCATAACACAGAAAAACTTTCTCTTTAATCTGACACTAATTTCAATAATTATTTCGAACTATTACTGTATTTAAACTTTATTTTATTGAGAACAAAAACCAACGACATTCGCACATTGAGAAATCTCCTTGTACTGTAGATTATTAAATTAATAACAATATATACCGATGTGTTTTTGAGTCTTTATTGTTAAAAGTAAAAGTGAATAAAGACATATAAAATCATCTAAACTTAAGTTAACTACAGAAAATATGAATACAACCCAAACTAAAACTAAAAACACTCTTGAGGTAAAGTTCGCCTTACGAGTCTAGCACTATGGAAAGAATGCGGATAAAAAAATTGCAATATTGCATATTAGACATCCAATAGAAAATAACCTAATATTTATCTATGTTACAAACCTACATTTATAAGGAAAAAATAATATTTTAAAACGCTGCGCGCACGCCTATGACAGGCAGCATAAAGCTCGAAATGAATGGCGTTATTCCCCCTTGCCCTTCAGACGTCCTAGTGCTAGACTCTTAAGGCGAACTATAAGTACCTAC